GAGTGCCTTACAATGGTTTCAATAGAGCGTTTTATTTTTTTCTTTGTTTTTCTTTTTTTCTTTTTTGTCCTCGCCTCCTTACTTTTGTTTCGGCTCTTTTATTTTTGTCTGTGTGGTGAAAAAAGGAAAGATAAGAGATGGAGACTTCATTTTGCCAATCACAAAGACTTGTATTGTTGCTCTCTGTCTCTATTTCTCACCTAATAAAACGCCTACCTTTGTGGCTGGAATTCCATCTCAGAATCTTAAAGGGTGGCTTTTTTTTTTCTAAACTGATGACACCATGCTTTCCTGTCTATCTGTTTGGACTGGACTGAGATGGAAAAGAGGGCTTGATTGATGGCAATGACTGCTTCTAGGAGTCAGAGATTTAGTCATCTCAACTGTGTTTATGTGTGTCTGAAAAGTGAGGGGGTGTGTTCATCAGGGGAAGATGTCGTCAAAAACACACCGTTTCTGTAGCCACCGTCGCAAAACAGGATTTTCAAGCACACTTGATTTCATCTGCATTAAGATGTGAAATCGTCCTTTTTTTTCTAAGAAAATCTATTAAAAACGTTTATTGAAAAAAATATTTTTATGTATTTTCACAAAATAGCTTTTAAATAAACTTGCTTACATACTGGTTGGATAAAAACATCTTCATGTGTGAGTATACAGAAAGAAAAAATACTAAACAGCTTCTAGTTCGATATTTTTAAAGCCAAATACATTGCATTATGAGGGTGAGATGTTAAAATCATGTAATTAATTCCTATTCTGAACTTTCCTGTATATTTTATTCTTTAACATTTGGTGTTGATATGAAATATATGTCAATGCTTGGCATTTGGAATCAATCCTTCTATGTTTTTCTTGTTAGACTTGGTGCAGCAATTCTGCTTTATTACTTTTGTCTCTTTGTTTGCTTCAGTGCTTTTGCTGTTTGTATTTTTTCTGATGAGGACCGGGGTTGTTGTTCTTTCAAGAGGAGATTAATATGTTTACACGCGATGAATAAACAAAACAAAAAAAATAGTATGGTATGGTATTATTCCATCACATTTTAAAGTGACATCAAAAAGAAGCATCTACATTCACATGGTTTACGTGATGGTTAAAATGCCAAATAAGTAAGAGTGCCAAATTCTAGTGCCAGTAGATAAATATAGTCTTAATATACTCAATCACTGTCATCTCAGTGAATGTAAATGATTCTGATACATTCTGTAACTTTTGTAACTAGATGTACAGTTGGTGGCAATGACTAATACAATAGCCTTTCTGCTTTGTTTTCAAGTCTCCATGTATTTTGCATTAATCAGACAATGGAGTAGCACAAGTTGCATGTTGTTGCCGCAAATACTTCATACGTTTATTTCATTACTGCCAAACATACATTTTCATTTCAATGTTGAAGTTGTGAGGTTAAATGTTTGAAATTGGAAATACAATGTAAGACATATATACAATATATACATATAAACATATATTTTATATAAAAGTTCAAATATGACAAATTGTATCCCTTATCATAAGTACTTGATTTCCTTTTGCAGTACTTAATGCTACATTTAATTGTTTTAAAGATACAATATTACTTTTTAGTTGTCCAGACTCACCATAAGTTAGATACACAGGTTATGCAGATGAGCACATCTATTTATAAGATTTTTTCCCCCCACTTTCAAATAGATCTATAACAAACCCCCTCCTGCACACAGCAGGGAGATGAACTATACTATTATTATTACCACTGTTTTTGTTATCAAGTATAGAAGCATACGGTATACCATAGTCGCTAATCAGTTTCATTGCATATTCAGGCTATTTCACAGACATTTTGTATATGGAATGTGTGCTAACTTGTTTATTTTTTGGGACTCTTTCTAAATAAAAAGTGGCTGATCTATTGTTATCTTTTACTGTGTCATTTATTTGGAATCTCTTGCTTTGTATTTATGCTATTGAAATATTCATGTAGAGTCATTTAAGTTTTCATAAACATAACCCGTTGACGCTGCTTACCTATGACTGATTTGTTTGCTTATATATAACACACATAAAGGGGAAATAAGTGACAGGTGTCACTTATTTCCCCTTTATGTGACCTGGCTGGGCTGTGATTTATATCACCCAAGGCACTGCACAACCATTTGTGCTTTCATTGTTTTTTCTGTTTAGGGAGATATATATATCACGTTACTAAACTTAGTTTGCCAGAGCTAAGGGCACATCACAGAAACTGTGCTAAAAAAAAAAGACAACAACAAAACTTACAGAGGATATGAAGACAAATACGTGTTTTTTTTTTTGTTTGTTTGTTCTTTACTTTTAAGTACAACAACCTTTACCGTTGAAATGTATTGGTTAAATCTAGTGTTGTTGTGTGCTACAATTCTTGAAGTATAATACATCAAACAGTTTTGAGCTTAAATTGCTTAGTGCTGAAGTGCCTTTAGGTCACCTTACTTCTTCTGAGTGTTAATGAATTTCACACGTCTCCGTTAAGATGGCTGACTTCCTTCTGCTCCCTAAGATAATCCTCTTTTTCTCACATTCATGCCATGTGTGCCTTTCTATCATGCCTTGTAGTTAATTACATCATATTAAAACCATGTTTAGCTGCAAGTAGAATCCGTAGACAGACACCCAGGAGCCACAGTTATTGCAACTATATACAGTTTATAGATAATGAATGTAAGCTCGACTAATAAAGTGAATGCACTTTCATCATCAGGCAGAACGATTTTGCCTTTATTTGTGCTTTTTATCCCTTAGCCGTGAATGGCTCATGGGGTATCGTCGTCACCGCCCGCAGGCGCCGTGGACACTGAAGTGTATGAATCTTTCTTTTACACATAAAAACGTTCCTGTAAATGTGACATGTACTGCAGACCAGAGCGCACTGAATCAATAAGAATCTCACCCTGCACACGCACATACTCAGATGTGAGAAACTTGTCAATAGAAATCAACGAGATACATTTACTGGCCATGTGAGTCAGGCTGTCTGGGCAGAACAACATGATTTATTTTTATATTCCAATCTAGTTTTACTAATTACATTTTACATTACTATGTAATTCTCCTTCAAAAGTAGCTTTTGCAAATACTCAGTAAAATGACTGTTTGAGGCTGTGAAGTGGTACTTTTCTTAACTGTACATTTGGCAATTTAAAAGGAAATAAACATACACCGTTAATTTTCAAAGGCTTCTGATTCCACTAAGTCTTCCCACTTTATGTCATGCAAGGTGTTTGGTTATCTTTTTGTTCTACTAAGCTCATGGTTCCAACAACTTTGATTGTGTTCTTGCTTCTGAAAATCTGTGAAGTATTTCCCGCTCCATCTTTTCCACCTTTTGTCAAATGCAGGCAGAGACCTGCTTCATGTGTACATTTGTATATGCTACATCATTTTCCTTTTATGTCATTCTTGTCATTCTGGGTGTATCTTGACACACTCCCAGAATTTCAAGCAATGATCCATTTTCATGAGTGTTTGTATTAGGCTCATGGGATTGCTCATTGCTTTGGGCAAAATCACACTGCTCCATGCACCTCTCTGTCGCCACTCTACTCACATATGCTGATTTAAACACTTGGGCATAGCAAAGAGGTTGCTCACCATCTGCTACTTAGTTGGATCAGATGGCTTTGCTACTGGACGCATCTGGTCAGCCCAAACATTTTGTGAGGGTTTTGCCTGGTGGATGACTCAGTGGAATGAATTTAGCTTTCTAGTCCAAAAGCCATTTTAGTGTTTTTGTTGACATAAAGACAGGTGACAAATTCAAGAAAACCCCAGAGAGGAAACCTGGACCTCTCCAGTGAAGGGGAACCGGTGGCTCTGTCATGCCATCAGGGGCATTTTGGCAGGATAATTTTTGCTCACTTGACCCTTTAAAGACAAGGGTTACTGCAAATCAAGTTATTTTGAGTGATCCCATTTATGTTATGTTGAAACATTTCTATCCTGGTGGGCATGAGCTCTTCCAGAATAGCAATGTCCCCATTGCTACAAGTGGTCGACAATTTATATTTAAAACATTTATTTGTACAAGGGGGAGAAGCCTCCACAGTTAAAATGCTTAAATTATACTATTGCATGAAAGAAGTATGTAAAATGTTAAAAATTTAAAAAATCTAAGAAGATAAAGTGTTACGGTTGTGCTAAGTATAAACTACTACTAATACTAATTTCTTTAATAATGAAAGGATTTTTTTAAACATATAGTTATATTCCCACAAAATGCATTTTTCCTAAAAAAAAATGTAGGAACTTCCTGATAAACATAAGAATTTGTATTTTTTAAGTTTTATATATATTTTGATATTTTGCGTTTGCAGCAAAAAGTGTAGATACTTCCCCCTTTCTCAGCACAATCTTGCTGTTTGCTTTCAACAAAAACAGATTTGTTTAACCTTAATTAGTCATCCTTGGAGCCTCCTTTTTTAGTTTTACTTTCCTTAACAGGGTTAGGGTTATTGAAGGTTATGAATGTCCCATGGCAACACTACCAACTTTGCGAGCATAGCTCCAATCTGAGGTTTTTTGCTATTCATTGCTTTTTGTTATACCAATATTTTTGCCACTATTTTGTTTTTCCTTTATGAAGAAATGACTTACTGAAGTGACACTCTGCAGAAGCATTGTTATCATTTTACAAGGCAGTTGCACCACCTTTGTGTAATCAAGCTTGCTTATGGGCCATTAGTTCAGCCGATAACATCACACAGGAATGGTTGACCAAAATGAATCTTCATCCATGTGAGCTATCAGCATGTGATGTGCCAGCTTTGTCTCACTTCTTTCCTTTATATTGCTAGTTATCAGTGGTTGTTATGATATGTTTCTCCTTGGACTGAAGGTAATGATGACAGAAGGTACACAGGGAATGGCCTGAATCTGCCACCTCATATAGGAGACATCAATAGCACAGACAGGACAATGTTTCATCTTCAGGTCTATTAGCTAAGGCCTGACTGCCTGCCCTGGCCTCATTAAAATCCAGCCATGATTCAGAAATGCTCACACAGCAACACTGGTGCAGATTTAAGGTGCATGAGCTTTCTTAACATGACATGATTTTATGTATATTTCAAAATAATATCGACTTGTTTACCCACTTGAACTATTATGGAAGATATTGTGGAAATGACAAATCTTGAAAGTTATTGAAAGCATAAGTTGGCAGTGCCCAGGCCTTTTATACAGCAATTGTAATACACAATCAACTCAGTTGACATCAGAATGATTCAGATAGGCATGGACAGGAACTTGTACTTGCAATCCTGAACAACAAAGCAATGTTTACTCCAGAGAGGTATTGCAAAATCAAATGCTAAGCAAGTGCCTTTTAATTGAATGGTTTGATTTTATTGTTTCATTTCTTTAAACAGTTTTTTTCCCCATTCAATTTAATCTCAGAAATCACTACAGTAGTTGTGATCTTACTGTCTGTCTCTGTCCAGGGTGTACCCTACCTCTCGCCCTATGGTAGCGGGGATAGACACCAGCCCCCCACGACCCTGATTAAGCATAAACAGAAGAGAATGGATGGATAACTTCCAAGTTAAATAGGTCTGCAGTGCATTTCATTAAAAAGTAAGAGCGATTTTATTATATTAAAAGTTCACAACTGACAGCAGGACCTCAACGCAAAAAAGTCACTACACTGTTGTTATATTTGGCAAGATAAGGACTCTGTATACTGGGTTCAGTTTAAAAAGATGCACTGAAAATCAACAAGTAATTGTTGGTGCACTGAAGTGGGGCTCAAGTAAATGGTCTTTCTGCGACTGCAGTGCATGAAGAAAGTATTTACAGCAATTTACTTGTTCCACATTTTGTCATTTGTCAGCCTTATTCCAAGATGGATCAAATTCATTTTTTATTGCAAAATTTGACTTTGTTGAAGTCTTTTTGAGTATGATGTTACAAACTTGGTATAACTATTTTTGGCCCAAAAATGGTAATCACGATCACTGTGTAGCAGCTACACAGTGATCGTGATTACCATCCACGGGAGTGCGCACAGCTGCTTAAAGCTGTAGGGTCCAGATTACTTACGTAGGCAGCTACTTCCGTGCAACTGATATAAGATGCGGTAAGCTGAACACAGCTTCAACCGTCTGTTTGTTGAAAAATAGTAACGGACCGCATTTTCTTGTTAGTAACTGTAACGATAGGAATAGTAATTAGTTAGATTACTCGTTACTGAAAAAAAGTGCATGGAGGAAGGCTGACGCTTTTTTATACTGATTTGGTTCCCAGAGAATAATCTTCTCACATAATAAAATGTAGCCATGTTTAGTTACTCTTAAAGTTAAACTGAGATAATGTCACCAGTTGGGGCGCACCCCTTTAAAACCAATGACATTTCCAATGCAGATGTGACATTTTCGTTTAATTTCTGCTCTCATTGTGCACAACTAACAATAGAATGGTTCATTAGTGTTGGTCCCTTATACCGTTCTTTATTTCTGATGGGGGGGGGGAAAGCTAGCACTTTCAAATGATGTCAAATCATGATGGTGGGTGATGAAAAATCCCCACTGACTGCTAAAGCCACTCACCCCTGTTATACTGAGCAAGAGACAAGCAACATATTTCTGAGGCACCAAGGTTGTGGGTGGTGTTATACTGTATGCTGTAAAACAGTTATCCTCTGGCTGGGTTGTCATAGCAACAGTATTAGCTGGGTTTCTCATGTCCCAGTACAGCATGTCATCCCTGTAGCTGCACATTAACGCACTGAGGTGGGGGTGGGATGGAATGGGGGTTGCTCCATCATCCATACCTCCATTTTACGTTACTCCTGAGAATAAAACAAACAGCTATTGTATTTTATCAATACACGATCTTATGTGCTTCAGGTTGAAGTGACAGGGAGGGGGTGTTTCGAAAT